CMAAWKRAAGCTTCTAAAACTAATCATGGCACCTTGCATCTGAAWGTTTYGAAGCGTACTGCCTTGCTGTCGAGTTTTCAAGAGAAACCTTCAGGTATTGCTTTAAAGAGAAGATATGAAAAGTCATCATGTGACCAAGGTTGCATATAATACTCTTAACATTGTGATTAACACTTACCCAGTTTGCTTTGCTGGGCCACACAGCAGTYGATGTACTCAACARAAAGAAGTTTTCTCTGTGGGAGATRRTATCGTGAGAAATTGGATAGGAATTATTATATAATATGGAAATTATTATATAATACCAAATATTGCATTGAAATTTTGGCTCGTAACTTTGAACTATTGACATGGGAAATTGGATAGGAATTATATAATACTCCAAATATKGYATTGAAATTTCGGCYGAACTTTTGCATGCTGTGAAACTGATCTTGGAACGTCCTTTCAATAACGTCAAATGAAGATTTACGTAAAATAGCATCTTACTCGCACGGCTGAAGACAGTTGCATCTTGTGTCTAAATGTTTGTCAAGGTATYGGTCGACCTGCTCGATGCATCGGTCTAGAAACGACAAGAACACAGAAGAAATCTGCTTCAGATTTACTACCTTTACGTCTGCTTGAATGCAYGTTAGAAGTATAATAGAAGCTGTGTGATGGTTCTTTCGGTGATTTGAGAGAAGTAGGAGAAGAGTTCTTGGTTAAACTCCGTTTTTCGGATAAAAATCGTCTTCCTTTACAGTCAAAAGACATGAAGCGCGCCCCTCAAAACACCATTATTTATTCATTATTCGATTCTTGGTCGATTCAACATTACATTATTGAAACTAAATTTGAATTCAAACTTCGAAATTTGATTGGATTATTGATCAAATTTTCATAAAGCCTTCTTCTTATTTCTCTTGTAAACATGCTGTTCTTTTGTAATTTCCACAAGTCGATGCATTGCAATATGCTGTCTGTTAATTGGTTAAAATGAAAAATACAATAATGCATTAAATGACGAACTATTCGGGGGGGGGGGGGGGGGGGGGGGGGGTGCTTCATGTCTTTTGACTGTAATTCCTGGGACAGCCCACTGTTACAAACACGAATTGTTTCGTGTCACACACATCTTGATATTACATAAGACAAGATGATTTCAGTTGATTGTACTCACTTTGTGTTGCGTTGAAAGGATCGCAATTGTTGTGATGTCTAATCCACGATGGCACACAGTTGCAACGGTCCAGGACCGCTAGAGTSAGACAATTCTTTAAGCAGGCCTGTAGAAACGTGTAACAGTGAAATCAGGGCATTGTTATGATTGATGTGTTTGCATTGAGACCTGATTACAAGTGGATATCAACACTGACATGGACGCCGATCTGTTTCATACTTAACCATGATTCAATGCATTCGTGCAGTTGGTCATTCGCCCTTCTGTCATACAATGGCTGTATACTTACATTAACTGAATACGATTTGTTAGCGTAAAACATCATGTTATAGGAATCATTACATCCTTCTCTAACTGATGTTGGTCTGTTCACCCGTATAGATATTTCCTAATAAAAAACAACAGCAAAAAACAATAACTACAACATCATCAACAACAATAATAATATCTACAACATCAGCAACGACAGCAACAATACCTACAATATCAACAACAACAATAATAATATCTACAACGTCAACAACGACAGCAACAATACCTACAACATCAACAACAACAATAATAATATCTACAACATCAACAACGACAGCAACAATACCTACAACATCATCAACAACAATAATAATATCTACAACATCA